GGCATAGCAATCAACAACACCTTACAATTATATAATGCTCTTCACTTGGATAAAGTCTTGGAGCAGATTAATACTTTATAACCTCTTTGAATCCAAGAGAATGAAAAACAATTCAATACGTGTTCTGTGACGCACAATGCACAGGACATGGTGAGACAGCGTGGCCACCAGGTGTAACTGTAGTGCACCTATGACGCACAATGTGCCTCCATCTGTCTCCTTCCCCTGTCCTTCCCCTGTAGGCTGCTCATTGCTAATCACAATGAGCGCCCTCCCCACTCTGCACCATCTCTAGCCCCCCCAGCCTCCTGCAGGCTGACAATGTCCCACTAATCTGCCGCTTCTCGTCTCAGTGTGCGCAACAACTTGGCTGCCGCCTCCGAGCCGAGCTGGCTCTTCCTCAAAATGCCCCCCTCCTGGGAATCCTCTGCTGGGCTCATTGTGGCACTCAGTGTTGGCTGTCCAGGAGCAGCCACACCGACTGCCCTATTCCCCACTACCATCGCAAGCCACCCTGGACCCAGACCCAAGAGCTAACCTCTCCTCTCCTCCCTCCTGCATCCCCACCCTCCCTGCCAACCAATTCACTACCCCCTCCCATCCCAAACATCCCCCTGCCAACTGTACACTCCGCATTGGCCTTCCAAACGTCCAATCCATCTGCAATAAGACCTTGGTCGTCAATGATCTCATCCTTGATGAGAACTTTGACATTATGGCACTCACTGAAACCTGGATCACCCCAGGTGACACCTTCCCCCTCATTGAGGCCACACCACCCGGCTACACCTACCACTATACCCCATGCCCCAACCCCATGGTGGTGGTGTGGTCCTCATCTCCAGGGTGTCACTTTCCCTATCTCCCTACTCCGCTGGCTGATTCCCCTCTTTTGAACACCTTACCCTCTGCCATCCCTCCCATCTCTCATTAAAAAGTTTCCTAATTTACTGCCCCCCAAAATCCTCCCCCACCTTCATCTCTGACATCTCTACCCTTCTAGCTTCCCTCTGCCTCTGCTCTGACCGCCTCATCATCCTAGGCAACTTCAACCTCCACTTCAGCCCCTCTTGCTCCACCTTCTCAGACTTCTCCTCTCTCCTCTCCCAACCTCTCTCTCCACATCCACTCTGCTACCCACATTTATGACAACCACTCGACCTGATGATCACCCGGGACCTCAAGGTCATCTCTGACCACCATTTCATCTCCCTCAACTCCCATATCCCTCTCCCCACTGCCTCCAAACCTACCACCATCTTCTGAGATGCTGTCTGTCGTGGAGGGCGCTATATAAATCCAAGTTGTTGTTTTTATTGTTGTTCTACCACCTGTAGATCTCCCTGCAATTCCTCTCTGTTGCCCTGGAGTCCTCTGAACTCCTCCCCCTCAGGCCCACCTCCTGCACCAACCCATCCTCTGCATTTACTCTCCTCCACAGCACCCTCTCCACCACACTCAACGCCATTGACACCCTCACCTCCCGAACTGCCTCCTATTCCCGATCCCCACCCTAGTTCATCAGCCATCTCCGCTTGCTCAAGGGACAGGTGCGGTCTGCCGAACGCACTTGGCTCAAGTCCGGCCTAACTGGCACACCTGGCTGGACCACATCAAAACCTACCACTCTGCTCTCGCATCAGCCAAATCGTCCTTCTACTCCAGGTTAATCCTGGAGGCGAAAGACAATCCCAGGCTCCTGTTCTCCATCACCAAACGGCTCCTCCGCCCTCCTCTCTTTCCTCCGACTCACACTGCGAGGAAATGCTGGACTTCCTTGAGTCCAAAATCAAGGGAATCTGCTCAGCTGCCACTGCCCTCCCAACTTCCACCCCCTCCCTACGCCTTCCCCACACTCCGACTGCTACCCATCCCTCCTTGCACACCTTTGAACCTGTCACTCCCTCCTCTGTCATCACCACCATATCCTCCATGAAACCCACCACCTACTCCCTGGGCCCCATCCCCACCCCTCTCCTTAAATCCCAGCTACACCTCCTTGCCCCACAACTTGTCAACATCATCAACCTCTCCCTGTCATCAGGCACTGTTCCTACCCCCCTCAAAACAGTCACTATCACTACCCTTTAACCTTCCCTTGACTCATCACAATTATCCAGCTACTCTCCCACCTCCCTTTTCTGTCTGAGGTCCTTGAGAGAGCCGACGCCTCCCAGCTTCGCTCTTTTTCTCCTCCCACTTCCTCCATGTGACCTCCAATCGGGTTTCTCTGCTGCCCACAGCACGGAAACTGGTCTGGTTAAGGTCACAAACGACATCCTGACCATGTGTGACCTCTTGGTGACATCATCCGCAGACATGGGGTAAATTTCCACATGTATGCGGATGACACCCAACTCTACCTCTCTGCCTCCACCCTCAACTCCAGGACTACTGGCGTCCTGACAGACTGCCTATCCAACATCAAGTCCTGAATGAGGGCCAACTTTCTCCAACTCAACATCAGCAAGAACGAGGCCATCCTGATTGGCTCACACCAACGTCTCCGCACCTCAGGCGCTGGCAGCATCAGCATCCATGGCTGCACACTCAACCTCACTAAGCCAGTCAGGAACCTGGGTATCTTGTTTGACCCTGAATTGGCCTTTCTCCCTCACATCCACGCCACTGTTCCAGAGCGTGGGAACAGAGAGGCTGAAAGCCCAGCCACTGATGGTAAGGCGGGAGACATGGTTCAGGCCGCAGTCTATTGAATGGAGGGAGCAGGCAGGTTGGTAGGGAGTCAGCAGGTCAGAGAGTTAGGAGGGGGCAAGGCCTACAGGACTCCACTCCACTTGTGGAGTCCTGGAGCTCAGTGGTTAGAGCACTCGCCTTGCAAGCGAGACACCTGGGTTCAATTCCAGACAGGGCAAAACCTTGGGCAAGTTTCCTTATTCCACATGCTTAATAATAATACCTCCAAAAAACAAAACAATAATAAATTGGTCATTTTCAATCCACGACTGTTTGTGGGACACTGCTTTGCTCAATTGGCTGCTGCGTTTTGCCCACAAATATACAGTCAATTCACTTTACAGCATATTCTGTGAAGCGCTTTGAGACGTGTAGAAGATGTGAAAAGCGCTATATCAAATGTACGGATTATTATTATTATTATTATTACTGCCTACCACCACCTCCCAATATTGCCAGACTCCGCCACTGCCTCACCCCTCAGGCTGCCCAGACCCTCACCCATGCATTCATCACATCAAGGCTCAATTATGGAAATTCCCTCCTCATCAGCCTTCCCAACTCTTCCCTTCACAAGCTACACATCATCCAAAACTCGAACTCTCACGCACCAGGCTCCGTGACCCCATCACTCCCACCCTCGCCTGACTCCATTGGCTCCCCATCCCTCAGAGGAACGAATTCAAGATCCTCATCCTCACTTTCAAAGCCATCCATGGCCTTGCCCCCTCCTACCTCTCTGACTTGCTGACTCCCTACCAACCTGCCTACTCCCTCCGTTCAGCAGGCTCTAGTCTGCTCCATGTCTCCTGCCCTACCATTGGTGGCCGAGCTTCAGCCTCTCTGCCCCCACACTCTGGAACTCCATCCCACAGTCCCTTTGCCTTGCTTCCTCCCTTGCCTCCTTCAAGGCCAGTCTCAAGACCCTCCTCTTCGATCGTGCCTTCAGTCCCCCTCCCACCTTTCTGCCTTCCCTCACCCCTCCCTCACACCTCCCCCATGCTCAGGTCCTGACCTCTGACTATCCAGCGCCTTCCAATGTGAAAGGCACTCTATAAATGTAATATTGTTGTTTTCTGAATACTCTTTGGTCAGCCAGATGTCTGACACAGGTGGAAACCCATTACCATACTTAAGAGTATCCAAAACAAACTGAGAATTCCATAATAATAATAATAATAATCCTTGCATTTGATATAGCGCTTTTCATGTCTTCTAGACGTCCCAAAGCGCTTCACAGAATATACTGTAAAGTGAATTAACTGTATATTTGTGGGCGAATGCAGCAGTCAATTGCGCACAGCAATGTCCAACAAACAGTCGTGGATTGAAAATGACCAAGTTTTTATTGTTTTTTTGTATTTTGGAGGGATTATTATTGTGTATCCCACCTACACAAGAGATCAGGTTTACCTCCCTCAAACTCCACCCCCAGGATAGTCTCTGGTTAGTCATTTGCCATCCAACAAGCACAGGTTTGAGCATTGGTTAGGTGGTACTCATTGGGAGCTTCCTTGTGGGCAACACAGCTCAGCATGAAATGCATGAGAGCATTGTCACCATCTTCCTGTGTGCAGCTTGGACGCACGGTCTTATCACATCATTGAGACATCTCAAAGCACTTCACAGGCTTTTATTGTGAAGTCTATTGACTGTGCATTTGAGGTAACTGTGCCAGCCAATTTGATGATTGCTTAAAAGTTACCTCTGCGCTGAGCAAGTGGAGGAAAGGGCAAAAAATTCTCCCCTCTTTATTTAATGAAGTCCACAAAACATCACACATTCCCCAAATAGAACTGACTGTCCAGCAGGTCCAGTGTTTTCTTCGAGGTTGTTAGTTGAGCTGCACACATTGGCTGCGGGGGTTCACCTGCAAAACACACAGTCTCCACTTTATAACGTGCCCTGTGAAACACTGAGATGGGTGTCCTCCCCAAGAGATGGGACCACGATATCAAATGATCATTCTCTCCATCACTATTATTCTTTCTATTCTGCAGATTTCGCTGGAGTCACATTTAAGTCTCAGTGTATTAGATGGATCTAGTTTTGTTGCTGAAACGTAAAATGCTGACTGCTTGTGCACTGCAGCCTCTGCTGGAGAATATTACAGCAAAGAGGCACATCCTCCTGAAATCCACCACTAAACTCTATTTACTTTGAGTTTTTCTATAACCGATACCGGTAACTTGCAGGGTTGGTTGGCATATTAAATATGAACGGATCTGTATCATTTACCAGAAGTATGACGAGCAAACTTTCTGGCAATCCCACTGTGCGGTGTATATAAACTCAGCGTCGCCACCGCTCAACAGCACCTCCAGCAGCAGAGATGCATCTCAGCAAAGCGGTGAGTGATTGTCACAGACACACAGACACACTGACCGACTGCAGCCTCGAGAGACGCCTCACCATCCGCATGTACTGTATTGTGCTGGGGCTGTGCTGGGGCTGTGCTGGGGCTGGGGATGGGCTGGGCTGGGCTGGGGCTGTGCTGGGGATGGGCTGGGGATGGGCTGGGGATGTGCTGGGGATGGGCTGGGGATGGGCTGGGGCTGTGCTGGGGCTGTGCTGGGGCTGTGCTGGGGATGGGCTGGGGCAGTGCTGGGGCTGTGCTGGGGATGGGCTGGGGATGTGCTGGGGATGGGCTGGGGCTGATCTGGGGCTGTGCTGGGGCTGGGGCTGATCCGGAGCTGTGCTGGGGCTGTGCTGGGGCTGGGGCTGTGCTGGGGCTGTGCTGTGCTGGGGCTGTGCTGGGCTGGGGCTGTGCTGGGGCTGTGCTGGGGCTGGGGCTGGGGCTGTGCTGGGGCTGGGGCTGTGCTGGGGCTGTGCTGGGGATGGGCTGGGAATGTGCTGGGGCTGTGCTGGGGCTGTGCTGGGGATGGGCTGGGGATGTGCTGGGGATGGGCTGGGGCTGATCTGGGGCTGTGCTGGGGCTGGGGCTGATCCGGAGCTGTGCTGGGGCTGTGCTGGGGCTGGGGCTGTGCTGGGGCTGTGCTGGGGATGGGGCTGTGCTGGGGCTGTGCTGGGGATGGGGCTGTGCTGGGGCTGTGCTGGGGCTGGGACTGGGGCTGTGCTGGGGCTGGGGCTGTGCTGGGGCTGTGCTGGGGATGGGGCTGGGGCTGTGCTGGGGCTGGGGCTGTGCTGGGGCTGGGGCTGTGCTGGGGATGGGGCTGGGGCTGTGCTGGGGCTGGGGCTGTGCTGGGGATGGGGCTGTGCTGGGGATGGGGCTGGGGCTGTGCTGGGGCTGGGGCTGTGCTGGGGCTGGGGCTGTGCTGGGGATGGGGCTGGGGCTGTGCTGGGGCTGTGCTGGGGCTGGGGATGTGCTGTGAGTGGAGCCATTATGTCAAACTGGTAAAATAGAAGGTAGCAGCGAATGGATGTAAATCACATCAGTCGATGTGCAACCGATTCATGTCAAGGGTTTAACAGAAAAGTATTCACTTGTGATGCCGAATGGATTACTCCTGAATATATTTATTATTTATATTCTAGTATTTAGTATCTGTGATATAGTTATTCTGAATGCATTGGGTAATAACTCAGAGCTGATTACAGGTATCAATCAGAAAGTATCCGTTACAAAGTAGTTAATGTAATGAGACAACTATTTACGACTATCACATGAATTCCTAAGAGAATATTTTTACATAAAGTAAAATTTTGGTTGGGATATTTTGCCAAATTTGTATTGACTGGGTGAATTATTCACTCCCTTGGGACATCCTCTAGACATGAAAGGCTCCATATTAATGCAATTTGTTGTTGATATCAGTGTTGTTCAAAGCTACATAGGCTGTGTTAATGAATGTATGAATGCTGTATTTTCAAACAGGTGCTAATCTCAGTTTTCCTTTACACACTGTAGTGCTTGCTTAGTTTGGCCAGCGTCCTTATTGTTTGTGCAAATCAAGCTGAATGCCAGCAAACCGTACCCACCTACCAGCACAGGGACCAGGAGACAGGACAGATGTTGACATGCAGCCGCTGCCCTCCAGGACAACATCTGGAGAAATATTGCACAGGTCAACATGATTCTGTGTGTGCACCCTGCTCAGAACTCCACTATACACAGTTTTGGAACTACATACATAAATGTAAATACTGCAATAACTTCTGCAGAGAAAATCAATACGTTAAATATGAGTGTAACTCAACTCACAACAGAGTGTGTGAATGCAGAGGTGGTTACTTCTTCGAATTTGAATTTTGTATAAAGCACAAAGAATGCAATCATGGATTTGGAGTTAAGATTGCAGGTAACATGTCCTAAATGCTGTCTTGTTGCAATCTGTTTCTCGCCAATAATAAATCTTTATTTCTGACGATAATTTTTAAACTTCCGATTTAATAGAAATGGGAGCCGTAATGCTTTCTTTCACTCTGCTTGTCTTATCAGGCACTCCACACATGGACACACAATGTGAAATATGCCCTGACGGTTTCTATTCATCGATAAGTTCTACCACTGAGCAATGTAAGAGACACACAGACTGCAGTGCATTGGATTTAAAGCTGGACGTTCCTGGTACTTCATTATATGACAACTTGTGTGGTCCCTGCCAGCCTGGTTCCTCCAAAGGTGTTTATAAACTTTTATTCTCTCACATGCAAATTTGAACAAATGTGCAGCAATAGCTCAAAATCTGCTCTTTCAGGCTGGCCGATAAGTTTTTCTTGTCAGCCAGGGGGCTGCCAGAAAAAGTGGATTGACTGTGTATTTTATACTGAGTATTCCGTACTTGCCAACAAATGGAAATTGCTTGGAATGAATGGATGCTCCGAGGGATACAAACTGCTTACTTAATTCTGGAGAGTATTTGACACAGGTTGACAAAAGCTCTAAGAGTGTGCTGGAGTCCAACCAGCTAAAACCAAGTAGAGTGTCATTTAAATCCTGCTGTTTATCCAGCTAGGACCATCATATTTGTTAGGTTTTAGCTTTCAGCGTTAACAGCAGGAAAAATTCCTGTCCTTAATAATATCCTGAATCATTCTATATCTTTAGCTAAAACAAATAATGCAAGTATTAATATAATGCTTTGCTGGAACATTTTTGATCACCTGCAGTAATACATTAGTACTATGTAGAAATCTAGTTTTGTTCATGCTTCGAGTTGGGGATTTTTTCTGGAGATGCTCACCTATAATTCCACAGTCACTAAACTTTACAGTAAATCCTTTGAAACTGTTTGAGATGTTTTGCCAATGTAATGAGGTTCTATATGAAATGGAAGGATAATTGGTATTTTCGCCCACAAAATACACAGTCAATCCACCTTACATATCCTGCAAACCATTTTGAGATGTTTCTATGACGTGATAAGGCCCTATATTAAATGCAAGGTGTATTATTATTATTTTTAGACTTCAATGAATAAACATTGCCTGAAAATACAGGAACACCAACAATACAAGGTAGTCTTTATGAAACATATTGGCATGATCTTCAATTATACCTATCCCCATTATAAGTAGTTAACAGCAGAGTAGAAGGAGTCAATTGACGCTCAACTAAAGAACATTCCGCTGCCCGCAACCAAATTGAAAAGCTGATCACTCCCTTCCCAAGTCTTAGGTACCAAACCAGCCGTGAAAAGCACTTGATATATCTTCATAAATTAAAACAACAACTTGCAATTTGTAAAGCATCCTTCATGTAGGACAATGTCTCAGAGCACTTTATAGTGGTGGGGTTGCACTCCAAACTAATAGGAAGGGAGGGAGATGGCCATAGGTGCGGGCAAAGAGATAGGTTTTAATGATACTAATCCTTGTTTGATCTAGTGCCTTATCACATTGCTGAGCTGTCTCAAAGTGTTTCACAGTATATATTATAAAGTGGATTGCCTGTGAATTTTGTGGACAAAAGATAGGATTTGAAGATAGGTAGAGAGAGGGGAGGCAGAGGGATAGTGGCAAATAGAGGTTCGAGGCATAATGACTGGAAGCTTGGCCAGCAGTGGTGGCACAAAGAGGGCAGGGGATATGTAGCAGACCTTTGTTAGCTGTATAAATATAAGAAGCGTTGAATTGAACAGTAGTATCTGCACATGAAAGGAACATTATTTTATTGCTGGTTATTTTTATTACTGAAAAATTCACTTTTTTCCACTGCAAAGTTCTATATCCCAATGGGAAAACATTTTAGTTGGGAACAACCACTTGATTCAGAAGATGTTATACATCGTGTATCAGTGCAGAATGATTACAGGATGAGCTGGAAAAACGCAGTTTGGCTTTCAGAGATACCTGGGCTGATCAGCTTTTCAGGTCACTGTACTATAACAATATTCACAACATTTCAGATTAGTTGAAATTAATGAACTTTTTCATTAGGTTATGTCACACAATAAATACATCTGTCCTGTGCCCTGACACTGGTGCTGTTCACCTTTGAGTTTTATACACACATGTTACAAGACTACATTTTTGAATCAAGATGGACACTGATTCAGATTCTGGTCTGTAGGCCATTTGCTTGGATGAACTTGAACCAGAATAGATAGACCCTCTCTCAAGGCTAACGACTACTTCTTGGTGCCTTTTACAAGAATCTAGTCCACTTTGTTCCAATGAATTCTATTATCTTCATTGAACATAACGTTACATCCTGAAATAGCTGATTAACAGACCTCAAGTTATTCTCTATGATGGCTAGAAACATAGATGTGGTTAGATAATTTCCTGCAGTCCTGCATCCTGACTTTGATGATAGTTGGGACGTTCTCCCGACATGAAAGGCGCTATACAAATGTAATTTTGTATTGTGTATGTGCTCTTTATCCAAAACTCTCATGAGTCTTCATAGTCTGAGTCACTACATCCCTAAACAGCAAGTGGAATTGTTCTCCTATGCTCTTCTATTGTGTGGCTGAGGGCATCACCACAGTCAGCCAGTTCAGTCATTGATGCCACCGGGGAGAGAAAATTCAGGCAGGGAGGGAGCAAATCTATTGGCATCTCTTCTAACAGTTTAAAAGATTTGTGCTTTTATTTTATATTTGTCGTATGCTTTTTTAAAATCTTAAATCAATACTAAATTTTCTCCTTTTGTTCTTTCTTCCAGAGGGTCTTTCCAAGTGCGAAGAAATATTTTTCTATTTCGTATCACAACAAAATTTGAAGCAACGCCAAATTTTCAGTATAGGAAAAACTCTGCTTAACCTGCCCAGAGCTAATATATTGGAAAGATGGAATAAGGGACAGCATCAGCAGCAGGTTATAGATTATCTAATAGAATGGAAGAGAAAGCAGAAAAAGAGCATAACCGTAGAAATGTTAGTGAGAGCTCTGAAGAAAAGCAAAATGAACAAAATTGCCAAAAAAGTGACCAAAAAATTTGTCCAAAGGCGGTACACAATCTCTTCTATATGAATACTGATGGATTGCCTGAACAGATGAATTCTAAACCTCAATATTTACTTATGTCACCCAGCAGACAATATTGGTGAAATCATTTACTAGCATTAATAGGAGTACTATTTAATTTTGAATAAGACAAAGATACTTTGTTCATATTTTAGTTCAATGGTTTAGCTATAGCCATGCTTTCCCAACATTAGCAAATGAACAAAAATACGTAATACTCCTAGCTCATGCATGACCGTTATAAAGGTTGTTCTTCTTTTAAATATAACATTTAGTTATGAATTATATATAAAACAGCCAAAGTAAATGACTTAAATATTTTCCTGTATAATACTCTTAGATATGTTGTTTTCCAATATCTATTTAAAGATACCTCTGTTGGACTTTGTGCAAAACATGTCTACATTTACACTCATCTTAACTTGGAAAATATCTTGGATTAAATTGCCTAATTTCTCCATAATGTTCTGTCAATTAAATAGCATTCACTGCGCACCTCCCATACTTTACTGTTTTACACATCTTTTATTTGGACTGAATCATGCAGATGTGTGTCATGGGAAACTAGACATTAATTTGATGAATCAAATATGTAGAAGCTACAGCATCGAAACTGGCCCTTCAGTCAGTCATAAACTGGTGTTTATTCGGGAGCCTGACACCCATGCTAATCCCCACCTCCCGAGCCACACCCATGTTTCTCTATGCCCTTCAGGTATGTATTGAGTTTCCTCTAAAATGCATTCATGCTTTCTGCTCCAACTATAGTGTGACAATGAGTTCCACGTTTTTTTTGGTCAGTGGGTGTCTGACACATATGGGAGGAAACCCATCACCATGTTTAAGAGTATTCAAATCAAACAAAGAGTTCCATGTTTGCCATCTACACATGGAAATTTGCTTTTCCAGAATGGAATACGCACTCTTTCCTGGAGGGACGCACCATGTTCACCTAATTCTGGAGAATATTAGGTCAGGTTCCAAGAGTCTAGGCTTGGGCACCCTTGAGTGGGGTTGAGGAACATAGAAACAGGAGTAGGCCATTTGGCCTATCAAGCCTGTCCAACCACCTTCGAAGATTGTGGCCGATCAGCAACTCAATTCCACCCCCCCACCCTCTCTCCATATCTCTTGGTGCCCAAAACTGCACACAATACTCCAAATGGTGTTCGACCAGCATTGTACACAGCTGTGACATCCTTTTCTGATTCTTATATTCCAGTCCCCTAGTGATAAATGCAATATTGCATTACAAGAACAATTTGCATTTATATAGCGCCCTTCACACTGGATGGTGTCCCGGAGCGCTTTTTGATAACCTTCTGTACATGCAACCTTCAGCAGCTAAGTCCGTTGAAAGAAAGTGTTGCTTTGCTCAACAATCCTAATTACTCTTTCCAATTCTTCAACAACAACAAATTACGTTTGTATAGCGCCTTTCACATCAGGAGGATGTCCTAAGCCACTGGACAGTCAGGAATCCACACCCGAGTTGGTGGTTGGGATTAAGAAAGTAGGAAACCCACCAAATCACATAAATATAATTCGGGAAGGTTTTTTGTTGAGGCGTAATTAAGATCTACTGTGTGTCCATACAGAAGAATATCTGCTAATGATGTTTTCGGGAAGCAGAGGAGCTGATCTTTTCAAAGTGCAGGCACACTGTAAAATAGCTGTTTTAAACAAACTGTATGAGAATTTCCAATAAACACTCACACCCGACCTTATCATACATTATCCAAGAAATGTTTTCTAACTATAGGTTAGGTTAAAGTTAACCAAATAAATCTGATGATTGAATCCTGATGAGTATCTGCTGGGAATCTGTGGGTTCTTGCCACTATTGCGGTAAAGGACAGGAACAGCTTATGTAAACTCATTAAACTTGCCCAAGAAATGACTAAGTTTGGCCAAATTATGGTTGTGTCGTAAATTTATTTTTTATTTCAAACAACAATGTTATTGATATTTAATTCTCCTGGTCAGCTTAACTCTTATGTAAGGCATGACATTTCTTTCAAGGCAGAAGTGAAACCACTAATGTCTCCAAATTCCTGGGTTTGGAAATAAACAAAGAGCATTTTTTATAAAGGAAATAAATAATATCTAGAATCTGGAAGTGGACAAAGTAAAACTATTTTCGTTAAAGGAACCTCTTTTTACGTTGCCCAATCAGCCATGACGAGTCATTTAGTGACACACGTGTTTATGCCAGGATATGAGTTGCAAATCAGCATGGGCAGCAAACCACTCAGAAATGATGGAATTAAAATAGGAAAATAATGCTCCTCCGAACTTCACCCTTTGATGAAGTCCTATTAAGGATTTGACTCCATCCATCGCTGGTGAGGCTTCAGTTCCAGTATTGTGTCCAATTCTGTGCACCACACTTTAGGAAGGGTGCAAAAGAGATTTACCAGAATGATATCAAGGATGAGGGACTTTAGTTATGTGGAGAGACAAAAGAGACTGGGATTATTCTCCTTAGAGTAGAGGAGGTTGAGGGGATATTTAATAGAGGTGTTTAAAATTATGAGGGGTTTCGATAGAGTAGATACAGAGAAACTGTTTCATCAGAACATAAGAATTAGGAACAGGAGAAGGCCATTCGGCCCCTCGAGCCTGCCCCGCCATTTGATAAGATCATGGCTGATCTTCTGACCTAACTCTAATTACCTGCCCTATCTCCATATCTCCTAATTCCGCTATTTTTAAAAAATCTATCAGTCTCAACCTTGACAATGTTCAAGGACTGAGCATCTACAGCCTTCTGGGGTAGTGAATTCCATAAATTCACTACCCTCTGAGTGAAGAAATGTTTCCTCAACTCTGTTCTAAAAGGCTGACCCTTAATTTTAAGACTGTGACCCCTGGTTATAGATTCTCCTACCAGAGGAAACAGTCCCTCAGTAACTACTTTATCCAGCCCTTTAAGAATGTTATATGTTTCAATAAGATCTCCCCTAATTCTTCTGTACTCTAGAGAATACAGCCCTAGTTTATTCAGCCTATCCTCATAGGTCAATCCCCTCATCCCAGGAACTAACCTAGTGAATCTACGCCGCACACCCTCTAAGGCAAGTATGTCCTTTTCTAAATAAGGAGACCAAAACTGCACACAATACTTTAGGTGCGGTCTCACCAAGGCCCTATATAGTTGCAGCAAGACTTGCCTACTCTTGTACTCTAAACCTTTTGCAATGAACGCTAACATGCCGTTCGCCTTCTTAGTTGCTTGCTGCACCTGCAAACCAACTTTTTGAGACTGGTGTACAAGGACACCCAAATCCCTCTGAACACTAACACTATCTAATCTCTCCCCCTCTAGAAAATAATCTGTTTTTCTATTTTTTCTACCTAGGTGAATAGCTTCACACTTCCCCACATTAAATTCCATCTGCCACCTACTCGCCCACTCCCCTAGCCTATCTATATCCCGTTGCAATCTCTTTGCATCATCCTCAAAGCTTACTCTCCCACCTAGTTTAGTGTCATCCGCGAATTTAGATACGTTACATTCAATGTCCTCGTCTAGATCATTGATGTAAACTGTAAATAGCTGAGGCCCAAGCACTGATCCTTGATCCTTGTGGTTTCCTCTGGGGGTGGGTCAGTAACCAGAGGACACTGATTTAAGATAATTGGTAAAAGAACCAGAAGGTAGACGAGGAGAATTTTTTTTACCCAGAGAGATGTTACAGTCTGGAATGCACTGCCTGAAAGGGTGGTGGAAGCAGATTTGATAATAGCTTTCAAAAGGTACTTAAAAAGGAAAATGTAGTAGGGCTTATAGGATAAGAGCAGGCACAGGCATAATGGGCATAATTACCTCCTTCTGTACTGTAAGATTCTATGATTCTATGAATAGCATGGAAATAGTTATGGTAAAAAAGCCCAAAAGGTTTTTGTTGTCTAATTTAGTGAAATGTGACACACATATTTCTCGCCCACCAAGTCCATTACTTTCAAATTATTTTGTTGATAGAGATTTGCATGGAGTTTCGGGTTTAGACCCTAAGATTTGGAGTTTCAGATGGAGTTGAAAAGGAATGCTCTGAAGCATGGAAACAAATGATGAATTAAGAATGCTATTTTGTTCACAGCAATTTGATGTAAAATGCAGAATTTAGAAGAGGAACTAAAGTTAAGAGTTTCCAAAAGACGGTTTCTTCCATAAATCAGGCACAACAACTTAACAGAAATAGTAACTATCGGTTTCTGCTAAGCTTCCAGCTTTATTGTTTAAACTCTTCCCTTTTCCCTTTTTGATTACCAGATACTGCAACCAAACAGGATGTAAGTGCTTTGTTGCTGCACTGTTCCTGTACGTGGCCCAAATTTGTAACATATAGTATTTCATAAGATCAGTTTTAAACATTTCAGCATTTAAGGTTAGAAGCAATAGGTCTAGGAAATAGCCCTAGTTAGCTAGTCTCATTTCTTTAATTTGTTAATTTGTTTACAGTATTTACTGTAAACCGCCCACTCTGCCATCAAATCCCCAAATTCCCTCTTTGTACTAGAGGGTGTGGAAACAAGATTAATTGCAAGTCAAAACAAGTCTTCCTTAATTGAGACGTTCCCTGTCCAAGTGGATATTAAAGAGAAGCAAGATTATTCTAATGTCTTGGTCAACAATTAACCAAATTTCTAATTCCACCTTCAATACAGCGCTGACCTTTAGTAAACCGGCTGCCTGCTCAGGTTGCCATTAAAGATTTCATGACACAACTCAAAAAGAGAAGGAAGTTTCTCCCACTGTCCGGGCCAACAATCCTCCAAATGAAATTGTTCATTTGATTCATGGCTGATTGTGGGATATTGTTGTGTGCAAGTGGGCTGCTGCATTTGTATACAAAATACGCAGTCACTATACTTTACAATATGTCCTATGAATTGCTTTGAGATGTCCTCATGACATGATATGTGTTGATGGGAATTGCTAGGAATATTCTTATTAATAATATTATCGATCCAACAACAACAACTTGCACTTACACAGCGCCCTCCATACAGGTTAATGTCTCAGAGCGTTTAACAGTGGCGGAGCCTGACTCTAAGCTGGGGGGGAGGGTAATGGCCATAAGCACAGTCAAAGAGAAATGGTTTCAGGTGGGACTTGAAAGAGGGGAGCGAGGAGCCAAGGCGGAGGGATTGAGGGAAAGTGTTCCAGAGTTTTGGGGCATAGTAGCTGAAAACATGGCCTCCAATGGTGGGGCGGAGGGTGCGAGGGAAAAGCAGGAGCCCGGTGCCAGTCCAGTGGAGGCGCCGGGTGGTGGATTGGGGAGTGAGGAAGTTGGAGAGGTAGGGAGGTGCCAGAGAGTGAAGGGATTTGAACACGAGTGTGAGGATCTTGAAGTCGATCCGTTTGGTGATGGGGAGCCAGTGGAGCCTGGCCAGAACTTGTGAGATGTGGGTACGGAGTTTGGTCCGGGTCAGTATGCAGGCGGAAGAGTTTTGAAT